CGTCCAGGCAACAAAAATCAGTTAAGTCTTTATGTTTTATCTCCTCTAAACTAAGCTTGTGTAGTTGGTATTCACATACATTCTCATTAAATTCCATCCCTTTAATTTTAGTCCATTGCTGTAAATATTATCTTGAAGCCTGTTATTCAATGCATTAGTTTGTGTCACTTTCATTCATTCATCAAAACAATATTTTGTTCTCCATTATGTGCATGGCACTGGGCTAGAGATGCTAAGAAACTGAACAGATGAACTCTCAAGTCCTCACTCAAAACTACAGTGATAAAACAACATGTTTGAGGACAGCACCCTATAACCCTCCTAAATGAAACTCAAGGGTAACGCAGGTTAACCACCAGACTAATACATTAAATTACAACTTGAGGGCTGAGACACTACCGTACCTTGTCTTTTCATTTTGCAGAATCTAGCACTTAATAAATAAAAAATGGATGAATGAATGAAATGAGCAAAGCTGCCCTATCAGTTATAAACTGTACCATCATACATTTAATAACTTCCCTACTATACTCTCAACACTCAGTTAACTACATATTACCTATTTTTAACCTTCATCTCCATGCACAGCATGCACACTAAGTATTCATTAAGTGTCACCTATTATTGGGGTATTGCTACCATTGTTAGTCATTCATTCTTGCTCCCTGTTTGATTATCCTCAGAGAATGTTTATAGGTATTCACAAATTAGTTCTAATATCAAATTAATTGAAACATATTTAGAAATATAAATTGCTAGCCGAAAAATAAAAATAAAAAGCCCATACTATATTTCAAAGTCAAAAATTAAAGGTGACATTTGAATTTTCCATTAGTTTAGATCATCTATAAAAGTATTAGTTCAACTAGTCTAAATTAAAGCATTTTTTAAAAAATTATGTCTTTAGTCTCTAAGTCTTCCTAATTTCAGAGACCCACTTCCTGTTACAGGCTCCTCTTTCTATCCCCATTCCCACAGCACCTTGTACTGTTAGAGTAAGGTCTTTATCCTTAAGCTAAAGGGTAAACTATTTCTTTAGGAAAAAATATGGAAAATTAACATAGTAGAAAGACATATCCTCAGATCCCTGTACTGGTCAGCCGCACACACACAAAAATGTTTTTTTTGAAAAAAAGACATATCCTACACACCATTAATACCAGCATGCATATATATAGTCCTCTGTAATTCACAAAACTGCTAAACATTTTATGACCTTTAAAATAAGGCAAAAGAAGCTAAGTATCACTGTTCTCATTCTATAAATAAATTTATGACCAAAGAATTACATGAAAAAGGGAAAATCATTACTCTTCTGTCATCATATCTACTGGTCTGCGGTATCTTTGCTTGTAACCTTTGCCAGAATGAATTATTCATGCAACCTTTTCACGTGTGCACTGGATCCTATCTCATTTCATCTATTCAAAGACATGGCTCTAGCAGTTTTGTCCTCTTTCTTGCATAACCAATGTTCCCCTCCCTTCTGGATCATATTCACCAACATTACACACATGCTGTTTAAATCTTAAATAACAACCCCAACAACAAAAGCTCTCTCTCTCCCCCTACATCTCCCTCCATCTACTATTACTCTACATCTGTTTCCATTTTAATATAAGAACTGTTCACACTTACCATTTCCATTTTTCTTCTCCATTTTCTCCTGAGCTCTTTTTAATCAAGCTCTCATCCCCACCAGATTAACTAACACAATTCTTGTTAAGGTCACGTCCAAAGCTAATGGTCAATTCTTACTCCTCATCTGATTGTGACTTCTCAGACACATTCGATTCAACTGATCACTCCCTTCTTGAAATACTCTCTTCACTTGCCTTCCAGGATACCAAGTGGTCTTCATTCTTCTTTCACTCTTTCTTGGCCTCTTTTGCTGGTTCCTTATCTTCCAGCCTCTAAATACCAGTGTCAGTCCTTGGAAGTCTTCTCTCTCTACATTCACACCCTAGGTGACTTCATTCCTTGTCTGATTTTAAATACCATCCTCATACTGATGATTACCAATTTATTATCTCCAATTCAAACCTTTCCCTTGAACTTCCAGCTTCTAAATTCAATGCCTACTTGACATCTCTACATGAATATTTACTCAGTATACCAAACTAAACACATCTAAAAACGAACTCTTGATTCTCCCCACAAACCTACAGCTCCTGCAATTCCACCTCACCTCAGTAAGTGCTCTCTTCTAGTTGTTCAGACCAAAACCTTAAGAGACATCCTCCCTTCTTCCTGTCCCTCCTTCCCTGTTCCCCTCCTTCCTGTTCCCCTACAACCACACACACGCATCCCACACCTGACCTGCTAGCAAATCCCACAGGCTGATCTAGTCGCAATCTTGCAAAAATATACCTCATCAAATTCAAGTCCTTCAAAAAATATCCATCCTTAGGACTGCCAAGGGGTTGGGGAGAGGTCGGGTGGGAGACATGGGGAACAACTGCAATTTGAGGTGGTTGGCATGCTGACGGTATTGATTTAATCATCACATCTTGGGCACAGGTGATGACAGTCAGCTTTGTGCACCATGAATATGTATAATAAATTAAAAAAAAATAATCCATCTTCACTGCTTCAACCTTGGTCCAGTCACCATTATTTTTAGCCTGGACTTGAAATCTCTTGACTGGTCTCTCTGCTCTTACCTCGGCCACTCTACAGTCTATTCTCAACACAGCACCCAGAAAAAGTCTTAAGAAAACTTAGGTCATGTCACCCTTCTGCTTAAACCTCCCAGTGACTTCCATTTCACTGAAAGTAAAAGCCAAAGTCCTTACTATCACTTAAAGACCCTACATAATTTGGTCTCCTGTTAACTTTCTGCCCTCAACTCCAACCACTTTCTCCCTGAATTACTCTGCTACAGCTACTTAGACCTCCTTGCTGTTCTGTGAAGAAGCCAGGCATGTTGTGGCTTGTGGCCTGCTTAACCTAACCCTACAGCATTTCCCCATGTTAAGAAATACTGTTGGAAAACATACTTTTTATTAATTGCTTAGCACTGTTCCACACACTACACCCCATAACTTTAGAGCTGTAAAGCAATCAGACACCTACACAGCACATCTAGTCAAAACAAAACAATGTTCCAGAAAGCTCTTGTTATTCTTTGAGCAAAAGTCTATAACTAAAATGTTAGTTCCTCAGTCTCATAGGACATAGTAAGAGGCTCAAGACAGAGGGATTGGTGTTGAGTCACTGAAAAAATACCTTCAAGCCTCAGACAGGCAATAAAACAATGAACGACAGGGCAAGAAATAAGAAGGCCTTTGTACACTGATCAAACTCAAAATGACCTTTCTTATTTTGTAAACTGGAATTTGGTTATTAACACCATGTGTGGGCTGGTTAAATTTTGATTCATATAAAATCAAGTGGTGAACAAAACTAGTTTAGTTGTTATCTGCTAGAGCCAGTGCTTTATGTGTCAATGATTCAAAAATATGACAGATGTATAGAGAACTCAGCCCATTTGGGAGGTTAGTACTTCTTACTTTCTCTTCCTTATACCCTACCAGGCACATACTCCTAGAAGAGAACACTTACTTGATAAATCTCAAGAAAAGCGGGGAAAGCTCCCTGGACCGTGGCTCTACTCTCTCTGGGAATTTGGCCAGAGCTCGCCAAAGTAAAAATCGAAAGTTGGTATGGTCCAGTCTTTCCCAACAATCAGTTTTTAATGCCAACTGCTGGTGATAAAGAGCTCCAACATCCCCTTCCTGGATCTGCTCCCAACTTTCATCTCCAATGGACTTATCCTCATCTCTTACATCATTTTGCAGTTCTTTCTCTGTTAAAAAAAAAAAAAAAAGACTTCATAACCACTAGAGAAATGTTAACTCATGTCCTATGTGTTTCCTTGAGAGGGCATTTCTTTCTCTAATAATGTAAGAAAACAGTAAATCATATCTAAAGCTTATCAAAGATAATATGGTTCTCATTTCTGTTTCCCAATTTTATGCGTAATTAGGCAGTAAAAAATCAAACATTTAAGCACCCTCTGCCCCCTTACATACCAGCATGTGTAGCTGCTTTTTCTAGATGTTCATAGTAGACTTTCCAAAACTGCTTATTTTCCATTTCGTGTGCATGAGAACTAAGAGAAAAGATCATAGAACAAAATATGTGGGACAGTCCTTATTTTGAGATTATCAGAGGGAAAAGAGTGAAAGGATATAACTAAAATGTTAATTAGATTATTCCTCATTATGGGCTTATAAACAACTTTTGCACTTTTCTATATTTTTCAAAATGCCTGCACTGAGCACAAATTATTCTCATAATCATAAAGCACTAAAGGACATTTCTAAAAATGTAAGTAGAGCCTTGTAAGACTATTTTTAAAGGCACAATAATGAGAATGGGGTATGATGTATGACCCATTCAGGAAAGGAGGAGGCCTCTCTTTGGACAGAAAAGTCAATTTATTCAAAGCTAACTTAAAAATAATGAGTTTTCCTCCACCAAATTCAAATACACTTGTTAACACAAAAGCCAAATAAATTCACTAACTACATGAAATATACTTATCAGAACTTAAAAAAGAGACATTCAATGAATCATATAAAGTGTTTAGCCTAGCAACAATATTCTTGAATTTTCTATATTCTTTCTTTCATTAATTTTCTAAAATATGCATGAACTTTACACAAGACATGAACTATATATGTGTGAACTATACATGGAAAACAGACCAACAGGTTTGTTGTTTCCATCTTTCCAAACTGAAGATGTACCCAACAGGAAGATAGCCCAGCCATTGTGTAGAATCACTAAAGGCTTTCAGTAATTGAAGAACCAATATTTTTGACAGTGGGTTATTGGTAACACACAAGTCAGATTCTTCCTGTCTTCTGAAAGTGCACTAAACAAAATGAAGTTGATGTTAGTTAGAGACACTTGTTTTCAGAATATTGGTTTGATGGCTTTGAAAGGCAGTAAAAGGCAGACAAATTGGTTACAAACTGGAAAGGGATTTGTTTATTCTGCTTCTATCAAATAAGAAGTAATAGTTGGGGTTTTGAAAGGCCACACATGACATATTTCCGATCTGACAAAGAGCCAGAGTAGACCATCTGAACACAAATTTCTGTAAAAGGACAGATTTCTACACATAAGTCACAACATATGTATTTTCTATGTAATTATCAAGGTCCTATTTACAGCTAAAGGGATTGTGGATACTAGATAGCAAAGGTTTTGAAAGTCCTTATTTTTAAATTAAAGTATGACTCAATTACTCAATATATGTAAATAAAATTATGCAACTATTATACCTTCTTACTATAAAAATTTTCAATAACACAGAAGTATCACATAAAATAAAAAGTCCTCCAAAGTTATTTTAATGCACAGAGAAACATACATATAACATCTGAACTCTTGAAAGACTTGGCATCACAGAGAATAATTGTGCCACAAAGGATTTAAGGTAGCTATAAATACTGTACACACCCATTCATTTAAATCACACCTAGGAGTACAATCCTGGCCCTATCATTCTGCAGTTGTGAAAGCATAACAGCTTCATCCATTTAACCTATGCTTACCTTATGAGTTCAATAACAGGATCCCAGAGAGCACTGAAGTTAACATATAACATGCCTAACAAATAACGAAGTGGCACCTGTAATTACAGGAGACTAGGTTAGTAAATAGGTAATGAAATATCATAGAAAAGCAGCACAGAAGCACCAAAATGCTAACATCCTAACCTGGACAACCTAAGATTTAGAAACGAGCTTGTGCATTAAGAAAAAAATTGTAGGCATCAATCCAAAATTCCGTGTATAACAATTTTCCCGCTCTCGCCAAAATGTTGCTCGCTATTTAACAAAGAATCAGTAACAGCACAGTGCTCAAACTCACTCCAGACGTTCACACATAAAGGATACATTTGAATAAACAAATTTGACCAATGATTAAAGTATATTCTAACAAATGTTGCCATCACCTTATATGACAAAACTTGAAAGCAATCAGAAAAGCACCAATGCCAAAGAACCCAAGAAAGCACGCTGTGAATGACAGCTAAGGCTTTGCAAGCAGATACCCGAGTTCTCCAAACTGTACTTTACAGGAGTTATGTTCTTGATTGTCTTTGTATCCCTAGCACCTAGTTTGATGTCCAAAACATAGTAAAGGCTTACTGAATGGCTGAATTCAGAACACAGAGTACTGAGTAGTAAATTCATTCCTATTGTAACATAAGCATCTTCTAAATAGAAACCATAGGCTGCTGGAGCAGGAAATAGAGACCATCCCACAAAATATGGTCCCTTTATAGATAAGGAAACTAAGGCACAGGGGTCAAGGTGACAGCCCACAAGTAAGAGCAAGCAAGCCCTCTGCATGATTCCCAGTTCTACCTAGTAGATACCACCTTAACTCTCTACATATAAAGACTGGCCATCTTTACTTCCTGTACAACTAATATTAGTTACTGAATACTGGCATTGCAAATGTTGTTGAAATGACTATGAATAATATTTTTACAGCATGATCACCAGTATACCTAAGGCTCTGAGAGAGACATACGTATACCCATACAAAGGGGTACAAAGAACACCTAATACTCATTTTATGTGCAGGGCACACAAGTAATTTTAACTATGATCAGTTGGTAATTGATATATAAGTTGATCTTCCATCTCTGGTAATAATATAGAATTATATCGTTTCAAGCACTAGACTCAGAGTCAGACAATATGGATCAAAGTTCCAATTCTAAAACATTTACTACTACATAACCTTGAGCAAATCACTTTAACATCCTTGAGCCTCAAGTTCCATTCCATATCTATAAAATGTGCATATCATTCTGTAAACCACAAAGCACTGTGCAAATGTAAGATGTTGGAAAGACCAACCCGGACTTTTATATTTTAAGTTTGCCTTCAAGAGATGGATAGCCTAGTAGGGACTAATAGGCAGGTAAACAACTAAGTACAGTGGGGGAGAGGCAGAAGAGGCTTCACTGAGGAAGTCACTGTCAAGCAGCAAAACAGAAAGGCAATGAATAGGAATGGTCTGCATTGCTTTGAACAATCATCATCCAAACATCAGCCCTTTCAGAAATCCTTCCTGTACACTCTCTTATGCATTCCTCATAGAACATGCCCCCCTGCAGAGCAATGGTATGCCTCCTAGTCCATCTTGTCCTTGAGACTGTGATCTCTTTGAAGATAGGGGCTGGGTTTTTGTGTCACAAAAATTAATTTTCATCATCATCATCATCAGCAGCAGCAGCAGCATCGCTACCATTGAGTGAGTGCTTATAGGTGCCAGATATTGTTCTAGCATTTTATATTTATCTTGTGTAATTCCCAGAGCTACCCAGCAAGTTAGGGACTATTATTTTCCCCTTCTCACAGAAAAGGAAATCTAGTCACAGAGAATTCTGGGTTCAGTAAGTGGCAGTGCCAGGCCTTGACCTTGGCAATCTTGACCACTCTACCTAAACTGCTGTGTGATGATGCTAGCAACCAGAAGTGTCAGTTCTGTTTCCTTATTTAACACATTTCTGCAACCTACTCCCCAGACCACAATCATTTATACCCTACCCTTTAAAGCTTTTTTTTTAAGACAGAATTTGTATTATGAAACTGCTTTACAAGATATTTTTTTTGATAAAGGATTATTTGCAAAATTATCCAATTCCTTAGGGTCTAAGGCTGATACAGTTAGAGAACTACTAAAAGTGAAGTATTACATTTTCAAATGCTCATGTGCTACATCTTGCAACTGAATGATAAGAAACACCAAGAGAGACCCTAAGTGAAACAAACTGTAAAGCAGTCACTTCCCTAATCCATCAGGAAAAGCATTAATAAAACTGAATGACAACTGGTCATAACTGCTGCCCACCTCCAAATCCTCAGAAGAGAGGATACAAAATTATTTCTACTACTTAAAATGCTGGCAGAACTATTTAATTCAAAGCAGCTAGAGAACTGGGGATATACCTTGTTTTTTTTTTTTTTTAAATTATCATTACTTTTTTCTTTGGTGACTACTTGGTATGCTTCCTAAACAGGATTTAAAGCATAAATTTAAAAAAAAATAAAAAGGACACTATTTTTACCTCCTGTAATGGCCCATCAGGGACTGCAGTCTGCACCACATCATGCCTTAGTTTTCTCAAATGAAGAAGCTTCTCTCTGTAATCGTTCACAGTTGCTGCAACAAGCTCTGCCTGGCGTAACACAGCAAAGGCAGACTGCCGCTTTGTGAGCCCATCATCCTGAACAGGCAGAGAAAGCCAAGGAGGCAGGTCAGTATTGTGATTTTCCAAAAAGAATATTAAATGTGAGCGAAGATCTTAAGAAAAACTGGAATATGTTACTGTTTTAAATAAAATAAGCAATACTTATTTTGGTAAATGATTTGTTTTTCTTCACACCATTGATTTCTTGGTGGATAATTCAGATTTAATGGTTAGCACAGAAATGACAAAAAACAGGAAAGTCATTCTCAAAATGACTCAAATTGATTGACAACACTTGATAAAATAAAGAATATATATATATATATATTTCCACTATACAATTCTACTTCTAGAAATTTACATTATGGAAATATTTCCCTACATAAAGATATCTGTGTAAGGATGGATGTTCATTGCTATATTATTTGAGATGCTGAAAAACTACAAACAATCCAACTAATTATCCATCAACAGGGAATTGCCTAAATTAGATATTTTAAACTCTGGAGTACTATTCAAACTTCAAAAGAAATGACATAGAACTAGAGGTACTAATGTAAAACCCTCATGATACCTGCAGTGGAGTGAATTGTGTCCCCCAAAACTCACTGAAGTGTGAATTGTGTCTCCCAAGTTTTATGCATTAGAAACTTAGGCCCCACTGTGACTGTTAAGAGGGTGGGAAATCCTATTATGGTAACTGAAATGTGGAGCCCTGCAGGGGTGATTGGATTGTAGGACCGTGATGCAGTGAATGGATTAAAAATGGTGGTCAGGGGCGTGGTTCTGAAGGCTTTAAAAGGAGAGGAGAGTCTGTCTCTCTCGGCTCTCTCTGCTCCCACCATCTTGCAATGTGAGACCCCTGAGTTACTTCTGCCACCACCAGATGGACTTTGAACTTCACAGCCTCAGAAACTACAAGCAATAAATGTCGTTTCTCTTTCTAAATCACCCAGTTCCAGGTATTCTGTCATAGCAACACAAAATGGACTAATACAATACCTTTGTTTAAATTACATATGTGTATACAAAGAGTCTGAAGGAATATTCGCCAACTAACTG